TATTTTCGAAAAAATCTCTAAATAAAAAAACTACTTTTTTGTTTTTAAAAATAAAAACACTTTTTTTGTTTTTTGAAGTGATTTTTTGCCAATAAGAAGTTTACCGATGGAGTAACGCCTTCAATAGGGTGCTTACGCTTTGTGGTTATGATGCCTATTAATAGTAATTAATTAATTTATTAATTTTTAATAATTTTTTTATCTAGGTCCCCGATCGGGTGATGTTAAATTATTTTTGCATTTCTTTTAGAAATTCTTGTATCAAAGATATTTTTGCTCTCTAGAGATAAATTTATTAATTTTTGTTAAAGTTTAAAAAATGTAAAATTTTGTTTTTGTTTTATTATATATTTTTATGTGTTCTACATGTGCATACACAAAAATTAATTTTGTTTTTTTTACATTAAAATAAAAATTATTCACATGTGATTCATTAGTGTTTTTACTTCTCGGGATTAATCCCGGGATTCAATCTTTTTAGTCCCGGCAATCGCGTGATCGGAATATAGCTCTGGGATTGCAATCCCTAACGTGTATACATGGTTATTTTTCCTGCAGTACGCCTCTGTTTAACTAATATGTACCTATAATTTAAATATTTTATAAAAATCTTTCAAAGAACCAAAAAATTGTATAAGAGCTGCCAAGGTGATAAAATTATTTTATAACATGGAAGCCATGTTTTTTGTTGTTCCACTTCGCCTTTCGACGTCCATTTTTAAAGAATAAAATACAGTCAGAGGCCATCGACGACTATTTCTGGATACATTGTATGAGGATGAAAGTTCATCTACTACATCGACACCTCCTTTAGTTTCGTTGTAAAATTGTATTATCTCGGGAAGTCGTTTATCCCCAGAATTTTCTACAATTTGGTTTCCATTATGTAAAGTTGATAGCAAAATAACGTTTTTGCCCTTTACTGCCATGTAGGAAACCATGGTCATGTCCTCTTGAAATGCAAATATACTTGAACAGGGATTTATATTTTTTACATTTAAAAATTGCGAAGGTATTTGTCTTTTATTTTTTCTTAATGTTCCTACAGATGTAAGCTTATGCTTAGTTAGAAGTTCCCTCATAACCTCATAGCTTGTATACCAATTGTCAAATGTAACATTTCTATTTGTACCTGCAATAGGTCTTACAAGGCGAATAACAATGTCGAATGGTTTGTTACTATTTTTATATGGTCCATCAGGTTGCTGGCCAACATAAACTTCCATATTTAAAACATAAAAACTTTTAGCATCAACCAATGCCTGAATTTTTATGCCATATTTTGATGGCTTATTCGGTATATATTGTCTAAATGAACACCTTCCTCGAAATGACTCTAATTTTTCATCCAAAGTTAAATATTCGCTGGGAGTATATGATGCCTGGCAATTTTCAACAAACATATCAAAAACTGCTCTTATAGGTGCAATTTATCAATTTTCAGCCTTTCCTCCCTATTATTTATATTGTCAAACCTAAGACATACTAAAAGAAACATGAATCTTTTCATACTCATAGTAGCTGGAAATATTTCAATTCCAGTACCATCAGTTTTATAAAAATCTTCAATATTTCGGTGGTTATTTCTAAAAACTCCTGATAAATAAAGTAAGCCAAATAATGCTTTTATTTCGCACTCTGAAGTTTTTCCTACGTGATAATTATTTTCTTTATATTTTGCTGCCTTCGCGCTAATTTTTATATTTGTATATCTTACTATATCGGAGATCATTTGGTGATTAAAAAATAGGCTCCAGCAATCCAGTGGACTTTTGGCATTTTTAGCATATTGTTTTACACCTGGCAAATGCGTTATTATGTTTTTTGCTTTATAGTCCTTACATTTTGAGGGAAAACTTGTTTTAGCCATTTAGTTTTATCCTTTGATATAAAATATTTTCCATTTTCAGTCAAAATATTTTCCTCTGATACTTCATCCTCACTTTCATTCGGTTCGTAATTTTCATCCGCTTCTTCATTCGCTTCAAAAATTTCTTCCAACTCTATATTTTCCTCCGCTTCCTGAAATTTTACCACTAAGTTAGAATATTCTTTAGGTGTGATATTCTGCACTTAGACCATTTATTTAAAAAAGTGCACTTGTACCGTTTTACTTCCAAGCCCCTCAATTATTAATAAATGTTTGAAATTTTTTAACTCAAAAAAAATTCAGAAAAACGAAAAATAAGGGGTGAACAAAACCCCATTTTTCGTGTGTAGTTGGCCGATTTTTCTGAATTTCCCGGGCCGGTCTGATATAGCCAGCACGCCCCTGGACAGGGGTGCTCATAGAGGGACAAATAGGGTTTTATAAAAAAATTTACAAAAAAATAAATAAAAAAATAATTCATTTTTATATAGAAAAACAAAACAATGAACTTAATTTTTACAGTTTTTAAATAACCTAAAACAGAATTTTACCTATAACATTTCGTCGTTGATACTGCAAAAGGTCACTTTGACGCCTTTTTGCACACAAAAAAAATCGATTTATTTTATTTTTCAAGTGAAACGACTTTTTGCATTATCAACGACGATTTACAATTTTTTTCCTGCATTTAAAATCGGAAAAGGACTGACAAATATTTTCAAAACTTATTTTATTGACTTCTTTTGCTTCTGGGCGATTGCAAGCGTTACTGATGGGACAATCGGAAAAAAATTTAACTATTTTTTGATATTTGTGCTATCAGTAATGAGCTAATGACGGTAATATTTGGGTAACTATTAAAGCTAGAGTTTGTGTAAAATTTTCGGTATCAGAGGTATTAAAATGTTTTTTATTTTACGAACTAGAAATCAATAAAATGTTGTTACTGATGGGACAGGAAAAAGGTCAAAAAAATTTCTGGTTACCTACTAGAAGAGAATAATTCTCTGAAACAGAATAATGTTGAAGAAAAGTATAGGTGAACCAAGTTGCAGATACAGTTAGTATAACTTATTATGACATCACTCATCTTTCATTGTAATCTGTGTAGGCAATGCATTTTGATTTCTCGTTACTGACGGGACATTACTGATGGGACATTTATTATTATTATTTATTATACACTGAAACAAATGTGTAATTGGTTAATTTAACTAAATAACTTCAATTTTTCCAACATTTCAATTGCTGATTTGATTGTTTCAAGCAGAATTATGGTTTTTGTTTTGCCATCGATAGTGCACTGTTTGATTTGCATGGGCTCTTCTGGGTTGTATTGCAAAGGTAAACAGGAAAATAATATATCAATTTCTTTGCACTACGGACATTCATTCATCATACAATTTTCTCTTTCGACGTCACAGGTTATCTCAGAAATCAGTTTTTTTTGATCATCCGGAAATGCTTTAAGGCGTTTGCTAAACGCTTCCAAAATAAATAAAATGTTTGAATGATATTTGCAAACACAAACGTTGTGAGGAGTGTCACTGATTGGCAAAACGAACGCAGGCCTTAACTCATAAAATTTGCGTATTTGAATTTTCGTTTCGGGATTTCTTCTTGGAAAATTGTTAACGCCTCTATAATAATTATAATTATTTATTTTAATTGATTAATTTTAAAATTCAACCTACTTAAAAAAAATTGAGCCTTCTGCCTGGGCGCCTATTGGCTTCGCGGCGCCCTAGGCCATGGCCTAGGTTGGCCTATGGGTTAATCCAGCACTGACTATCAAGAAAAGTAAGACTTTCAATAAATAACATGGTTAATAAAAATAATGAACCAGATGCAAAAAGACCTAAGATAAAGCCAGGTCGTTGTTCGGTATGTCCCAGAGCTAAGGATAGAAAAACAAAATACACTTGCAATATTTGCTTAGACTATTTATGCTTAGAACATGCCATAATTTGAACCCGAATAACTTTTTTATGCACGGTCGGATTTTTTTAATTTAAAAAAAATATTTTTGGGTGTTTTGTTTTTGATATGATTTTATTTTTGTTTTAATTTAAAAATATAAGTTTTTTTTGTGTTAGTACAATTTGTGCCAAAGAGATTTTGAACGTTTCTAAAAAACGCATATTTATGTTTATTAATAATTTAGTTTTATTTATCAAAATATTTAATTTATTTTATGTTTATTATAATAAACTGTTGTTATTTTTACTATTTGTATTAAAAAAACATAAATAATTTTAATATTTTATTTTTTATGCTAGAAAAAAAAAATGGGGTTTGATAAACCCCACCCCAACTTGTAATTTTTTTCCACCTGTCCAATGCCGGGTTAAATATATTAAAGAAAATCACCAAATACCATTACATGATATAATTTATATCTTTCACTTTATTTGACAGCTATCGTTTAAAAGTTTGGTTGTGTTTTACTGGAGCCACAGCACATCTCTGTCCCCAGTTGTTTCAGTAAAATTAATCTGCCGTACATTTATAAAAGGGTAGTATTTACCACTGAGCTCAGTAACTGAAAGTGGATTTCGGAATGCGTTTTCAGTACCGACAGTACTGACAGTAAATTAAGTACGGAACATAGCCACTGTACTCAGTATACTGGTGTGGGCGGCCAATTAAAAAAAAAAAGTTAACCAAAAATAGTACCTACCTACCTATTTAGATAAATTATAATTTATAATTATGTAATTTCATTATTTTACAAAATGTTATTAAGAAGTTATTAATAATTAAAAATTAAACAGGGGTTCTGAAATATCCTCCCAGAAGATACATATAGCCAGTATTTACCTTGATAATCGCTAGTTTTCAACATACTTTTTCTATGGTTTTCAAGGCACCGCCACTTTGTCCTTGCAAATTAGAATGTCCCCGCCCTAGAAAAAACTCAAACAAAACAACAAACCTCATATGATATCCAAAATATTATTCGCAACAAAAAAACAAACCACCTGATCCTGCGTTGTTGATAAATACAACAAATTCAATTAATTACTGCGTCTTTGTTTTGATCGAGGATCTAGCTAATAGATAAAAGATCTAGCAGGCGATTTTGACCCGTATTTGCTTGTTGCTTAGTGACGCGAGGGCGCGCACATCACCACAATCAGCTGTTTCAGCTGTCAGTTGTTTCTAAAATGGCGTTTGTGTAAAGTGGACAAAGAATAAGACATTTTTTAGAGTCTTTTGAGCCATTTTTCTATTGATTATCGCGATTGAAAGTGCAAAAATTGTTTTGAAGGTGTTTTCGACAAAATGTTGTCTCTTGAGGTTGTCCCAGAGCGTTCCTTAGGCTGTGAGCAATGGGAATTTGTTATAGGTGGGTAAATAAATAATGTTTGCATTTTATTTTTGACAACAAATCCATCCAAAGTGTTGGTGTTAATGGCGTAATTTTCTATACGGATTGTTTTTATTTTGGGTGTTGTAGTCGAGAGTAAATGACCTTCAAATGTTAATTGTTTTGTGGTTCATTCCTTTGTTTTTATTTCTGTCAATTCAAAAGATGAGCCAGCCAACTGGGTGCCCAAATTATCGTTATGATATTATTTTTATTTTTAATTTAAAGAAAGCGGAAAAAATTCCGTAAGATAAGAAATAAATTTAATTAATTACTATAAATTATGTTAATAAATAAGTAGTAAAAATAATCTTTTTGACAGTGTTAAAAATAGTACCTATATTGTGCGACTAGAGGGAGAAACTTTCTCCGAGAAAGAGGAGTTTCCTGGAATATCTTTTTTTGACCAATAGTCGCACGCAATTTTATTTGATATTTTATCTAAAATCTGACAGCTGTCAAGCACTTTTAACCTCACTTTTTTCCAATTTTAACTTAAAGCTAACATCAGCCCTTGGCACAGTGGTCCAAAAGCCCAAAAACATGGTCAAAATATGAAGGTTAAGTTCTAGGTTTACCAAAACATGGAGTTTTTAGGGTCGCTGATTACGAATTTGATATCCTTTTTTTCAAAAACAAAATGGCGGTTCCAATATGGCGGACATTTTTTTAACAAATGTTCTGATATCGCTTAAATTTAAATTTAAGCCAATTGGCAACATGTGGTTTTTGAGGAAAATTTGAATTTCCCGCACAAACTAAATTAATTTCCATCTTTTTTTTTAATAATAATAAATAATAATAATTCCCACATTTGAAATTCGCACCTTAATTTATTATACAACATTGGAATTACCTTCTTTATCTCTGGGAACTACTAGAATGTATGTCAGTTTGTGATCATATGCAAGGAATGCGGTCGATGTTGCCAATGGTAAAAAAATAAAATTCCCTATTGGGAACATTCAATTATATTACGTTGGCTACACTGAAATTTTGAATTTCCCGCACAAACTGGAGTTCCCAGAGATAAAGAAGGTAGTTCCAATATTGTATAATAAATTAAGGTGCGAATTTCAAATGTGGGATTTATTATTATTGATTATTATAAAAAAAAAGATGGAAATTAATTTAGTTCGTTCGGGAAATTCAAATTTTCAATGTAGCCAACGTAATATAATTGAATGTTCCCAATAGGGAATTTTATTTTTTTACCATTGGCAACATCAACCGCATTCCTTGCATATGGTCAATTGCGAATTTTATATTTATTTTTCGAATAACAAAATGGCGTATCCAAAATGGAGGACATTTAAAAAAAAAATCTGATATTGCTCAAATTAAATTTTAGCAACCTGTGGTTTTTGAGGTAGCTGATAACAAATTTCCCAGGTAGCACACTAACGTTTATATGACGTTGAAATGACGTTGCTAAAATGGCGAAAATTTTTACAAAATAATTTTTCATTCAATTTTTCGGATTTTGGCCAGCTATTTTTGACTTTGGACCACTGTGCGTGGGCTAATACCTACAGATGCGAGTACCGAAGCTACCTAATTTTTCCTGTAGTTTAATACATAAAATAGGTCCCCTTACCATAATACATACCTACACAAAACATCACAATTTTTCATTCAATTTTTCGGATTTTGGCCAGCTATTTTTGACTTTGGACCCCTGTGCCTGGGCTAATACCTACAGATGCGAGTACCGAAGCTACCTAATTTTTCCTGTAGTTTAATACATAAAATAGTTCCCCTTACCATAATACATACCTACACAAAACATCACAATTTTTCATTCAATTTTTCGGATTTTGGCCAGCTATTTTTGACTTTGGACCACTGTGCGTGGGCTAAATACCATTACGCCCACTGGTTAAAGTTAAGAAAGAAAATGGGTGTTGAATATTCATTCTGTAACACTTTAAGAAATAATAGGAGTAGAAAAAATAAATTAATATAATTTTTGACATGTACTTTTTTATTTGAACACTTTTTTTAAATGTGTCACAGTCAAACTGACAAATATTTTGACAGTTTTTAAATATATCTACCAATATCAAAAAGCAATTAAAAATATTTAAAAATGAAATGTCCAAATAAAAAAAAGAACCATAAATTTTAATGTTTTTTTATAATTTTTTCTTTTAGGAATGCATTTTTCTCAGGCTGTATCAATAATACAGTCACAAGTTGGTATTATTAAAGGTGTTCAAGTTTTATATAATGACATTGTAAGTATGTGTATAAATATCTTTTATATAAAAAAATAATATTAGGTAATATAATAACATGTTTTTAGAAGCCCTTAGAAATTGATTTGGTAATAAATCTACCACAGGATGGAATAAGGTTATTTTTTGATCCAGTGTCCCAAAGATTAAAAATAATCGAAATTTACAGTATGAAATTAGTCAAGTTAAAATATTGGTACGTTAATAATTTTTCAAGAAAATCCCCAAAAACATTTTTTATTTCTAGTGGGTTGCCATTTAACTCCCCAGAAGTGTTGCCATCTATCGAGCAAATTGAACACTCTTTCGGAGCTACGCACCCAGGTGTCTACGATTCCGAAAAGCAACTTTTCATGTTGAATTTTCGGGGACTTTCTTTTTATTTTCCCGTGGAATCCAAGTTTCAAACTGGGACGTCTCACAATTTAGGCAAGTATATTGTTTTGTTTATTATACATACTGAGTAAAATGTTTAATAAAAAGGGCATTCCACGATAATCAGAAATGTTTGTCCCACCAGTCACACTTAAATATTGTGAGTAAAAACCACATGTCAAATTGATTTTAAAATATTGTTTATTTTGCTTGTAATAAGCTTATAAGCGAATAAACATAATATTATAAAATATTAATTTAATAATGTGTGGTTTTTACTCACAATTTTCAATTGTGACTGGCAGGACAAAAATTCCCGAGTATCGTGGAATAAACATTTTACAAACAATTGGAAAATTTATGCTGGTAATTTAGATCCCCTAAAAATGTAAAAAAATAGAAATTTTCTAAAAAGATAATATTTTTTCACAATAAATGATTTTTTGAACCATAAAAATAAGAATCCCATCAATAAATTTGTTTAGAGCGATAAAAACATTTTTACAATAAAATTAAAAGAGTAATGGTAAAATACATATATTTTATAAAAAAGTTAATATGCATTATGAAATTAAACTTCTTTAGCAAAAAGATAGTCCATTCTTCTTAACCTGACATAAACAAAATAAATTACATATATTAAAATAATAATTTTGTGCAACAATAATTATTATAATAATATTTACACAATCTTACCTTCACTAAATTTTTTTAACTTTTTTACATATGACATAAAATGCACATGCACAAAGGCACTTTTTAATTATAATTGCAAAAGTTTGGAGTTTGCAAACATTTTCCACCAAGTCACATTTAATATGCTACGAAAAATAATATAAAATCCTTTTAAACGTCCAGGGAAGCATGAAGTCGCAGAGGTTAGATCATTTAATCACTTAATTATAATTAAAACATTAAACTAACTAATCACTAAACTACTAATTACACAGTAGTAACATCAAAAAGACACAAAAAATCGCCGGTACACGTAAACTTAATTATTGGGCGTAGAATCCAGTTTTTTAAAGTTAGCTCGTTTTATTAAGATATAATATTTAAGTTTTTGTAACTTTTTGGTTTATTATTTGTGTACATTTTGAGAAATACCAAAAAGACACAAAAAAACGCCGGGACATGTAAACCTAATTTTTGGGTGTAGAATTCAGTGGTGTAATCCGTTTTTTAAAATTAGGTCGTTTACTCAAGATATTATATATATATACAGGGTGTTTCATAATATATGCGCAGGACTTTAGGATGTGATAGCTCATCCAAAAAGATGAAAAAAGTCGCTATTAACTTACCCTCTAAAATGCACAATTTTCGAGATACAGGGTGTTGAAATTTTAGAAAAAAAATCGTTTTTTTCGATTATCTCCGGAACCGTTTATCGTACAAAAAACAGCTTTTGTAAGCATTTTCTACTCAAAATAAGCTATGTTTTGTGCCAGAAAAAAAATTTTTTTTACTCATAATTGGTGGAGATTTTGAAGGGGTAGCGGGTGTTTTTCTCCTCAACTTCTACGCCCCTGAAAAATGTACGGTTTTGAGAGGCCTATTCGAACCGCCAATGTTTTCTACACTAAAAAGGTGTTCTTGGTCATAAGCTCTAAAGTTGACCGTTTTCGAGAAAAATCAACTTTTATATTTAAAAACATGTTCAATTTTTTGAAAAAAAAAATTTATTACAAATTAAACACAATTTATTTTAACGTTAGAAAAAGTAACAAAACCAAAAGATAATTGCAAAATTAAAAAAATAATAATAAATGATTTTTTACACAAATGCTGAAATGTTCGAAATGCGTTGCCTTTACGGTTTGGAGAATTTAGCAAAGACAACTTTTAAATCATTTTTTATTTTGCAATTATGGTTTGGTTTTGTTACTTGTCCTAACGTTAAAATAAATTTTGTTTAATTAGTAAAAAAAAATTTTTTTTTTTTAATTGACCATGATTTTAAACATAAAAGTTGATTTTTCTCGAAAACGGTCAACTTTAGAGCTTATGACCAAGAGTACCTTTTTTGTGTAGAAAACATTGGCGGTACGAATACGCCTCTCAAAACCGTACATTTTTCAGGTGCGTAGAAGTTGAGGAGAAAAACACCCGCTACCCCTTCAAAATCTCCACCAATTATGAGTAAAAAAAAATTTTTTTCTGGCACAAAATATAGCTTGTTTTGAGTAGAAAATGCTTACAAAAGCTGTTTTTTGTACGATAAACGGTTCCGGAGATATTCGAAAAAAACGATTTTTTTTCTAAAATTTCAACACCCTGTATCTCGAAAATTGTGCATTTTAGAGGGTAAGTTAATAGCGACTTTTTTCATCTTTTTGGATGAGCTATCACATCCTAAAGTCCTGCGCATATATTATGAAACACCCTGTATATATATATATATATATATATATATATTATAGATATATATATATCGTCGCCGGGCTTGCAATATCTCCAATGTGCAATATCCAAAATTTTACAGGAGAGACTAAAAACGTTTAACTGATTGAATATTGGCGGATTTTAAATCATGCATAAGTGCGCAAAATATGATTTTACATTGTAGATATTCGAAAAATGTGCGCAAGGCTCAGAAAAATATTAATATCATAAACGAAATTTGGAGTATATTGTCACTTTGGAGGTATTGCACGACCGACGACGATACCCTATATCTTTTTTTTCGTGCTTTAGGAGAGGTGGTTTCAAAAGCAAAACAAAATTTTTTGGCTAAGAAATATTGATGAAAAAAATAATTTTACTTTTACCATTTTGATTTTTTTTAAATAAGTAGGTACTAGGGCTATACAATTTAGGTAGGTATTTTTCGAAGACTCTATTAACCGGTTAAGCCGCCAGTTAATTAGCTAAGCTGATCAGTTAACTAGCTAATTAACTTAGCTAACTTTTTTAGCCGACTTAACTGGCTAAATTGTACAGCCCTAGTAGGTACTAAAACAAGCCTATTCTTTTCCCTTAATTTTGATATATATATTTAAATGGGATCTCGAAACCAGTTCAAAAATCCGCTAAGTTACTTACTGACAGGTAAAGGATCTCACAATTTTTTTTCAATCATTGGTACATCGGTAGCTTATTAATTAAGTGTTAATTAATGTAAATTGTTCACGAAAAATAAACACATAATTAATATCCTATTCCATTTTGAATAATTGCATGACCTACGCAAAATAATACCATTGATTACGATAATACAATAATTTAATAATTAAACTTTTAAAATGTACTTAAAACATTATAACTTAAAACAATTTAGTTATAACTTAAAACATTTAAACATAAACTATTTTACTTTTTTAAGAAAAACAGAATATTCGAAAGCAAACGATATTTTTTTAAGTACAGAACTTCTTTTTCGGCCGAAACGAATGAATTGTATTTTTGTGGCCATGGAACTCCTTTTGCAGCACTAAATCGTTCTTTTAAAAATTCAGCTGCTCAAATACGCTAAATTCTACAATTTAAGTAACATTTTAAAATTTAAGTAGACTTGCCTAGTCAAATTAAAAATTAATTAAATTCACACATCATTTATCATACTTTAAATAGGATTAAATTACGTGAATACGTTTACAGTGGCGGCTGGTGGATTTTGGGCACACCCATATCTCAGTTATTAGACATGGGACCCACATCAAATTTATATGAGTTTATAATGACATTATATAGACAAGTTCTGCGAAGCAGAATTTAAATTAAAGTTTGCGAAAAAAAGTTAGTTTTTAAGTGCAACCCCCGGCCTCCTGCCCCTCCAAATTAAGATAATTCAAATTTAAGTGGTACAATATTTAATCCACTGAAGTTTATCGACAAATTTCAAATTTTATTAAAAAAATTCAAGAATTACAGGTTTTATACCATTTATAATTTTTATTATTTCTTTTACTAAAATTAAAAAAATTTGAAATGTTATAAAATCTGTAATACTTGAATTTTTTTAATAAAATTTAAAATTTGTCGATAAACTTCAGTGAATTAAATATTGTACCACTTTAATTTGAATTATCTTAATTTGGAGGGGCAGGAGGCTTGGGGTTGCACTTAAAAACTAACTTTTTTTCGCAAACTTTAATTTAAATTCTGCTTGCGCAGAACTTGTCTATATAATGTCATTATACACTCATAAATTTGATGTGGGTCCCATGTCTAGTAACTGAGATATGGGTGTGCCAAAATCCACCAGCCGCCACTGTACGTTTATATGTTATGGTATGTAGTAATTATTAGCTTAATAAAATAAAATAAGTGTGAACAAGATTATTGTTAATGTATAAAATAATAAAATATAATATTGTATAATTAATCAATTATCCCCATTTATGGTAAATAGACAACAAATAATACACAAAAAATTAAATTTTAAAGTAAGAAAATGATAAACTTTTAAAGTTTAAGACACCGAACAGTGTTAAACATGCTACAATAGCAGTTTTTAAATAAAAAAATATGCATTTTTTAACCCAATATTATTCATTAGGCATCATAAGCCGATTTTGCAGACTTGCAGCCCGTGCAAGTTGGCAGGCAAACAAAAATCCTATTTTGCCAAGGCGTTATACGAATGGGTTAAAACAAGTTGGACAAACAAAAAGGTTTTTTCTTTGCTCTAAAAAGTTATAATAAATCAACTAAAGTTCTTAAAAAGCGATTTAATTATTGAATTATGTATGTTTATAAAAATACTATATTTAGAGAATTAAGACAATGTATTAATAAGGTGTTTATTTCCCCTTTAAAAAATTTAATTTATACAAAATGTCTCCAAAAGATGCTCCTTTTACCTTTGTCGTTACTTTTAATTTTTTATTTTCCTCTTCTTTACTGTCCAAAATAATCTGCAAACGTTCTCTTTCTACCAGCGCTTGTTTCCGCTTCCATTCTATTTGAACTCTTCATTTAAATAGAATATTTTTATTTATTATTTATTTTATCTCCTCTAATTAACAGTCAAGTTTAAAACGCCGTGTTTTAAAGCACTACAGAATATAAGGGGCTTCCCCGAAATCCAAAATGTCACTCACTATCAATCA